CGTGAAGGATTGACAAGGTGCTCATTTTCGATTACAAGATAAATATGTCGAAATTGCATGTCGTGAGCTAAATGATATTTAATTTAATCATATTAATCAAAATTTGTTATTTTATAATATTGTTTTTAATTTTTTTTAAAAAATTGTATATGTTACAAGTTGTTCTTATACAATTTTTAAATCGGCTTACTCGAAATTTAAGTAGCCGATCCCAAGCTCGATAAAGGAGAAGGATTTATATTTTATCTATTTAAAAAAAAAATTACACGAGCTCGCAAGCCGAAGTTCGGCTTGTGATGAGCATGAACCAAGCTCGCGGAAGGCTAGGCCCGTTGCCACCCCTAAGTAAATGGATCTAAAGGGTTTGGTTGGCCCTAATATCTAAAGTGGCAACAACTTATAAGTTAGGGCCTAAGCAACAAAGAAGACGTCCTTGTTCTGACCATTGTCGTAAACTGGGATGTAAAGAAGATGCTAAGAAATACATAGGAAACTAGTGGATCAAAAACCAAGACAAAATAGCAGAAACCATGGTTACCAAGCATATGTTGTTCCTATCGAGGTAAAAAATAACTCTACTCCAGGTGATAAATTTAATCTTAAACAATTGGAGCAACTCTATAAAATGTTCTCAAGTCTCTAAACATCTTGTCATCAAATCACTAGTTCACAAAGGTAATTTTTTGAGAGCATTAAATATTATCACTCAATCCAAATCTCTTTGTATTATTGATTAATGTGCATCTAATTAGATGACGGATTTTTACCACATTTCTTCACATATTCAACCTGTCCTAGCAACATGAAAGTTAAAAATGAAGATTGCTCACTCTGTTTGTAGTAGAAAAATTAAGTATTCGAATTTCTAACTCTATAAACCGAGCTATTTTTCATGTTCCTATTTTGTCTTATAATTTATTGTCAATTAGCCAATTGACAACATGTTCCAATTGCTATGCTAAATTTCTTCCATCTTGTTGCTATTCAGGACCTGTCATCAGAGAAGACAATTGGTAGTTCTAAAGAATGTAAGGGCTTTACCACTCTGAAAAGATTGATGTGAGTGAATAAAGTCAAATTATGAATTATGATTTTACGTTTGTTCCTTGAGATAATGAAATTCCATTATGGGATTTTCGAATGGGTCTCTTAACTCTCAGTACTGAAGACATGTATTTCGTTCCATGTTTTGAGATAAAATGATTGTTGACCTTCAATATAAAATTTGTGAACTGACAAATCATCAACACACTCCTTTTTCCAAAATCTACATACAAACCATACAAAACATTCAATATGATCCACAATGATTTATGGATTCCTTCATGAATCCCTAATCTTTCTCATAAAAATGGTTTGTGACATTTATCAACTATCATACCCGAATTTGTTGTATTTATCCACTAAAAGAAAAAATTGATATCCCATCATGGTTTGTAAATTTCTACTTGATGGTTCAAACATAATTCTAGACACAAAATTAAATTTTGCATACTAATAACGGCACAAAACATTTCAACACAATGGAGAAAGAATATTTTCAAAACCTGGAATAATTCATCAAAGATCCAGTGTCGACAATCCCTAACAAATGGGATTGTCAAACCAAAAAAAAAGAGACACATTTCACTATAAGCATGCCCAAACTATTTTGGAAAGATGTCATTATAACATTGGCCCACCTCATGAATATAATGCCTAGTCATACTCTTTCATTCAAAACACTTCTCCAAATCATTTGGAATTTTTTCCCCAATTCATGCCTTGGTTCGAACTAATCCTTCAAAGTATTCACTTATACTACCCTTTTCCACATACATATCATCATGGAAGTAAACTCAATCCATGTGCATTTAAGTGTGTCCTCATTGGATGCTTGCTTACTCAATAAGGCTACTAATGCTATAATTCATCCACATAAAAAAGGGTATTTGTTAGTAGGGATTTACATTCTTTAAAGGACCCCCTCTTTCCTAAAAACCTCTCTTTAGGAGAGAATTTGAGTGAAGATCTGTTCTTGGACTTTGATCTCTCTCCCTCTGAACCTATCCTAAATACTGAATGTATTATACCATCTTGTCCGTACATGCCATTTACAATAAGAGAAATTAAATCGAGTTAAAGATATAAGAAACAAAGTTAACATAAAATATTGGTTTACTCGAGGAAGCTAAAATCAAGGTATAAGCAAGATCTCACTCCCGAAGCACCAAAAGAGTTGGAATCGGTGATGGGCCTCTTTCGATAAGTCCAAGTCCTCATATAGTAATCTACCTATTCTCTCAAGGAAATAGACTTGGTCATGTACTCTCTCCCTTATGTCAAAATTAATTTCTTATAACACACTATCTGTAGAGTAGTTTTGTATACATTGAAAATTCCCAAATGGAGAGAAACATTATTAAAAGAAATGTGAGAATTAGAAAAAAATGAAACTTGAGATGTGATGGAGTTACCAAAAGGAAAAAGATCCGTTGGTTGTGAATTGATTTTTAATGTGAAATATATAGCAGATGATATAAAGTTCGCCTTGTTACAAAAGAATGTACGCCGACCTATGGTATTGACTACATGAAAAATTCATACCCCGTGATAGAGTTAAATACAAATCGAGTTCTTTTGTCTTTAGCAACAAATTTGGTTTGACCTTTCTAACAACTTGACATAAGAATTATTTCATGAATAGAAAACTAGAAGAAGAAGTCTTTAAGACACTACCTACGAGTTTTTGTAAGAGGAATGAAGAAAAAAATGTTTGTAAACTAAAAAAAAATCTTAAATTGTACGATCTCAAATAGTCACCAAATGCATGGTTCGATAGAATTACAAGAGCATTGAAAAGTCTGGAATATCGATAAGGATAATCAAATCATACTATGTTCTTTCAATTCTCTGAAGATGGGATGGAAACAATTTTAATTGTATATGTTGACGAAATAATCCTAAACAGAGATAATATATTCAAGATAGAGACTAAAGAAAAAGCTTAGTTACAGAATTTCAAGTAAAATATTTGAGGTAGATTCGGTGTTTCTTGAGAAAGGAAGTGGACAAGTAAAAAAAGGGTATCACTATTTCAGAACAAAAATACGGTCTTGATCTCTTGACTAAAACTGGTGTGCTTGAATGTAAACAAAGTGACATACCTGTGGATGCAAGAAGGAAAACAGAAGATTTTGGAAAACCAATTGAAAAAGATATATATTAGCGACTAGTTGGCAAGATAATCTACCTTTCTCACACTAGACCTTATATTGCATTCGTGGTTATTATAGTATGCCAACATATGAATTCTCCAATGGAAGCTCACCTAGAAGTAATATACAGAATCCTCATATATCTCCCAGTCTCCCTTGGAAAATGACTATTCCTCAAGAAAAATGGGGGAAAAATGTACAAGTATTCACCGATGCTGATTGGGCTAGATAATAGAAGATATGAGATCAACTATTAATTATTATACATTTGTATGGGATAATTTAGTAACTTGAAGAAGTGATAAGCAAAATGTTGTAGTCAGAAGCGGTAGTAAAATTGAGTTTATAGAAAGTATTGAAAGAACTACATGTTTCACTAAAATTCCCATCAAATTCTATGGCAATAACAACACATTTATCAACATGTCTCTCAATCCAAATCAGCATGATCGAACCAAGCATGTAAAAGTGGACAAACATTTCATTAAAGAAAAGGTTCAAGTGGAATTATACGCATGACATATGTCCCATAATTAGTGTATATAATTCCTTTTAAATATAACTTAGAATTATACTTAACATAGATAGCGTCAAGCGTTTAACTGTAATTGCTAGAATCTCTTAGTGACTTGTGTTACAATGTCTATTTAATGAAACGGATCCTCGTGAATTGAGGCATTCAATCAAAATCTTGTCATGATGAACTTTTGCTTTCTGGTTACTTTCTTCTATTTCGAGAGTCCTTTTCCCACTAAATTTGGGGTCGACTAAATGAATTTTTTGCGGCCACTAGTTTAGTTCATTCGTAACTAGGGCCAACAAACGAAGCCCTTTTCCCACTAAATTGGGACCATCTGAATTATATATATATATATATTTTTTTTTTTTTTTTTTTCACTAATTTAATTGCACTTAAACATTACTATGCATGACTGGTTGGTATTGGAAATTCGCACTAATGTCCTTCTACTTGATTACTAGTCATTTGAACATGTCATTTGACATTATCTTGTTAATTAGAGCCGTGTCTCAACATGGCTGATCATCCTCTTAGTGTTTAGGGATGGCAACGGGAAGGTATGGGACAGGTCGGTCATTCCCAACCCCGTCTCATCGAGTATTTTTGTTATCTTATCCCATACATATACTCGATTAAAGCGGGATGGATCAAATCGGGGCGGGACAGGCCCCTGCCCCATTTATTTTTTATTTATTTTATTTCTTACTTTTATTNGATTAAAGCGGGATGGATCAAATCGGGGCGGGACAGGCCCCTGCCCCATTTATTTTTTATTTATTTTATTTCTTACTTTTATTTTTGTATGTCTTTAGTAAATGTTATTACTTTTTTACCATTTCATTAAAACAACTTATATTCTCTCTAGAAATGATGATAAATCTATTATTTTTGTTTGATAAAAAATTAAATTTGAAATTACTTTAAACGGGGCGGATAGCGGGGCAGGGATTATGTTTCCTATACCCGTCCCATACCCTGTTTTGGGGCAATGACCCTAATCCAGTACCCGTCCCATTTACCCGGCTAGGTAGGTAATTCCTGCCTCATTCGGGTTGGGGTCCCACGGATATCGGGTTAAACGGATTTTTTTGCCATCCTATTGGTGATCCCATTGTTCTTTCTAGCCTCATTTAGTTTTGAAAGCATCCCTCCCCACCCCCAAGAAATAACAAATGCACCAGAAATCATGGAGTCCACCAGCTGTCTCGTAACACCAGGAAATCACATTTTTCGGCTTAGTCGTTCAACAGTATAATACTGAAATAATAGCACATTGTTCACTGTTAACACTGTTAAAATATATGTTTTATCGAAGGTATAAGTTATATTTTCTTAGCCTCGTATTACAAATAAAAGGAAAAAGCAAAAAGGAAAGCAGGGCTAGAAGCCATATACACACCTGCGGATTATACATGTTAACAGATTGTTATGTGCATGTAATGTTTAACTACGATATAAATGATTTGTTACACAGCAATTAGTATTCACTGATGACAAGAAAAGGATGTCGGATTATTTGGAAATGTATCTGCGAAGATAATCGACTCGAGCAGGATGCTTGAGCTTCATGAGAGCCTTCATTTCATGCTTCCTTACCATTTCTCTTGACATATTTAAATTGCCTGCAATTTCTCCAAGAGTTCTGTCTCCTTTACCATCAAGTCCATATCTTTGTCTGATAACCAAACTCTCCTTAGGCTTCAGAGAATCAAGCTGTAAGGATGTGAAAAATCAGATTTTTGAAAAGTATAAATAATTGGCTAAATGTATTTCAAATACTACAGAAATGAAAGACAAAATCCATCTTAATAATTAATTACGTATGTCATGTGCCAGTATAAATCATGTAGTGTCTGATGGACACCTCTTATTTTCTGCTCGGTACTGTATCGGGAATATGACATCTGACAAATTTTGTTAAGCTTGCGGTTGGTTTGTCGTTTTGGGGCCATTTTCCATTTTTGAAAACGCAGAAAATGCGTTTGGTCCGTCGTTATACATTTTCGAAAAAAAGTTAAAATTTATAACTGAAAACGCAAATTGACTTTTTATCATTTTGAGCGTTTTCAGTTATAAATTGCCAAAACGCTCATAACGCGGAAAACGGACCGTTTTCAGAAAAAACTAAAAATCATTTTGAAAATGAAAATGCAAACTAATCGCTACCTAAATGTCTATTTTTTTAATTTTGTCTAGTCCAACGTATCCATCTCCAACCCTGTACTGACATTTGAGATAAGTTTTGCTTGTACCAAATGAACAATGTTTAATTATTTCTACATTTTTTATCTTCATTGTTAAAATCTGGTACTTTCAATCTAACTAATTCAGTACATAATTATTTACTGGCCTACTTTCTTTCGAACACGAGTTAACATGCATCATAAGTTGTTCTGATCTTCAAAACGAAACAGAGCAATACCGTGAACCACTACGTTGGTTATAGTCTTATAGATAAGGTGATTAAAAACGGCATGACTGAGTTCAACATGAAAATTCCACGTGATAGGTCTTTGATGAAAAATGGATGAATTTTTGAAGATATAAATGCAAATCAATATATTCTTCCCCTTTTTAAAAGTTTATGCTTTTGGATGAGGTGATTCAACAAGTACTACATGCAGTGCAAATAAAGACGGGAAGTTACCACATCATCCAGAGCAAGCCTGAGAAGAGCAGGTTGCCTTCTTTTATCTCCTTCAGCACCATCAGTATCAGTAATTCCATTTATGAACTCTTCTTGGGTTACTGCATGCCGTGCATGAAGAGAAGATATCGATTTTGATGCTCTCATTACTTCATGATATCTCTCGGGGGAGATACCAACTCTTTCTATAATTTCTTCTTCTGTTGGCAATCTCTGCAGCTCAAACATTAACTCTAACTTGGCCCTTTTGATTTCTACTCTGACCTACATAAGAAAATACTTCAGCTTTTACACTGCTCTGGTGTCAAGAAACGTTTAACAAAATGCACCAATAAATCCTATTTCATCTATGAATGGATGTCTCCTGCAAGCTCAATTCTAATTATCAAATTCGTGCATGAATTAGAAAATTATAATTTAGCTCTTATTTTCATGTATATGAATCAGTTTTAAAGTCCAAATTAATACATCAAGACTGTACTTAAAATGGAAAAAAGCAGTCAATTAATGTCTTTTTACAACAAAAGCAGCAAGTTTCTTGCTTGTACGAAGAAAATATGAAGTTCATACACAACCTATGTCAAAAAAAGAAGAGAAAATGTTTAAAGATTTAGGATAAGCCTACCGATTCAAGGCCGAAGGGGACTTTGGTGAAGCTTGAAAGTGTCATAGAACGTATAATGGCATGCCTGATCCAAAAGAGGCCATACGTTGAGAGCCGGAACTTCCTTCTTGGCTCAAAACGGTCAATAGCTGTTATTAGACCCTTCACTCCTGCTTGACAGAGGTCTTGGAATATTGGGCCATTTGCAAAGTCTTGAAAATATTTGTTTATCACAAACAAAACAAGCCGGAGGTTGTGCTGCAGCCAATGAGAAACATAATTGGCTTTGGTTAGCTCTGTTTCTGCAATTTAAGCCTCATGCATTGGAATAGTTTACAAAAACTGGATTCGATTGGGTTACTAGCAATTGGTTTCTGAGTTCAGATTTTGCCTTTAATTACACCCTCAGATATGGTTTCTAATTTGATATTATATCAATAAGACAATGCAAATCCCCCATAACTTTTCTAAATAGGAGGCTCAAGGACATTCCTGAGTCACAGCAACCTTCAAGAATGTCCTATTATATGTGGTGTTGTCATGAAAAATGATGAATTTAGAAGAAGTAAACAGAAAAAGAAGTTTATTCACATATTCTAGACCTGGGAAATGATAAAATTGCAAATACTTCACTGAAGATTTCACAAAAATGGTGATGATGATGAAAAACATAATTACCTTGATCAACTTGTTTCTGGCAGCTCTACCAACTTCCATTTGTTTCCTGAGTTGAACAACATCTGTATTTGTTGCCTCTGCTAATTCATCATCCGTTGGTTTTCTTCCCAAATCATTTTCTAAATTATCCTTTACTTGAAGGATTGCCTAAACGAAAGGTTAAGTCAGCAGAAAAAACATCTAGATTCACATCAAACAAAGAAAAACACAATATTTCCGATGTTTGATTTATTTTTATTTCTATGTACTTTCAAATACTTCATTCGACTATATAGCTCTAGACAATATTCTGGATGAAAACAAATATGTAATACTATCAATTGTCAAGTCTAGTACTGAGTACAAAACATGCCTTTTGTGCATTTGGTCGAGAGGGGGAGGAGATTTACTCACCTTCATAGGTTGCATCAGTTTAAACAGCCAGGCATGTTCAGAGGAAGGAAGAACAGATGGGACCTTCATTTTCTTCCAATCTAGGCTGACTAAATCAGAGGAAACAGAATACTCTCTAACAAGCCTATCTACCTTTTCATCTTCATAATTCATGCTGCATTTTCCTTCCCGGGACGATGCAATTACTTCACCTTCTTTCTTCATTCGCGGAGCAATCCTCTTCTCAAGACTCAATCTTTTCTCCTTCTTCCTCCGACTCCTTACAATAGTATCATTAGTTCCCTTTTCGACCTCCTCCTCGGCTTCTCCCACCCGCTTCCTCCTCTGTCGCCTTCTCTTTACCACATGATCCTTAACTTCCACATCCGATACATCTTCTGTTGAACTTCGTTTGTATATGTTTTCAAGTGTGGCAGCAGCGACATTGTAATCCAATTCTGAACTACTTGGAGAGGCTTCACCGGTTGACACAGCGCGCGCTCGTCTTACAGTTCTTATCCTCTTTTCATTTTCTTCAGCTGGTTCTACAGCTAAAGATTTAGATTCTCGAGGTGCAACAAAGCCTGGTTTCTTTGTTTTATTATCTTTTTTAAGCGATAAGATTACTGGCCTTCTAACTGCAGATTCACGAGTCGAAAATCTTGTGCTCAATCCCAAAGGAGTCCTCGAAGCAGAACTAGGAACAGTCACAACTCCCATGCCCGATTGTGGAATCAGAAGGTCGAACAGCAATTCAGATTAATTCTCAATCTTGCAATCCTACAATATGAAATTATTCAAACACCAAAGTATGATTTAGCATCGCTTGTATTTAACATCAATCTAAATGACAGTGCATTAAATTATAGGTCCAATTAAATATAAGAAATTATGTCCCTTTTAATACGATCTATCATATGCTGATACTTAAATTGGTGTTTAACAACGCTGTTGTTAGAATAGTATTCAAGTATTATTTGGTACGCTGATGAATTATTCGATTTGATCCAAAATTTTTGAAACAGACTTGAAGGTACATAATTGGCATGCATAATACTAGATTAAGAATATAAAGATCAAATACGAAAAATCAGGTACCTGAGTGCAGTGAAATAGATCGTAAACTGAGTTGACTCAGAGCTTCCCGCCTGATGATTCAAGATTCCGGTGGCAAATGATCAGAAAACTGAAAAATCTCAGCTGAAAAGAATTTATAAGTATTTAAGAATATAAGAACTACTCGAATTTCCCTATCCACAGGCTTTTCTCAACAAAATTACCGGCTGAGATTTAGAGTCGTGTGATCGACGGTTTTTATAGTTTCCATTTTGAGCTGCATGAAAATTCTGGCGACGTGGGCTGAGCTAAAGCAGAAAATGTTAAACTCTTCGTGGCATGTTAAGATGCTTCAATGGAGTCTATGGATATTGTTTTTGACACGCGGCTGATTATCAATGGACAGAAGATATATCTCAAAATTGGTGGGTCCTACTTATTTTATTAGTGGTTTGAGGGTTCAATATATTTTAATGTGTAATAATAAGGGCTCATTTGGTTTGCATTTCAAATTTTAATTTTTAGTTCATTTTCAATTTTCAATTTTGATATTCTATTTTTGAGATTGATAAGAATCTTTTGATTTGCTAATCTGAAAAATTGAATCTCAAAACAAAAAACTAAAAAACATGTTTGGTTTGAAATTTAAAATTACTCCATTAAATTTGATTAGTTTATAAAATATATCCATTGTTAATATATTATCACGTAATATATAAATTTTAAAGTTGATGAATTTTATAATATTATTTAAAAAAAATAATAATAATAATAAATAAAAATTAAAGACCCAAGCTGAGATTTTTTATTTCTGTTCATTTAAATATATATTTTTAAATTTTTATTTAAATACCATTAAGAGCTTGAATTATTATATATATTTTTTAATTTTCTCACAATTTTTATTTTTCTAGAATTTTATCTTTCTCCTGGGTTTTTATTATTTTAGATTTTTTTTAAAGATTTTTCTTTTTTAACTTTTTGAATTTTATTTTTCTATAATTTATATTATTTGTTTTACAATTTTTAATTCTTTGAATTTTATTTAAAATATATTTTATTTAAATGTTTATTTTCCGTATTTTGATTTTGAAAACACTCAAAGCAACAAAAAATCATCTTTCATTTTATGTCACGAGTTTAGACTTGTTTTCGAAAATGCATTTTTACAAATACCTGATCAAAAGTTTGAGAGTTTTGTAAAATAGAAAACTGGAAACAGTAAATCAAATATGCCCTAACTTTTCACTACTTTTGAATCACACATTTTCAAAAAATATTACTTTTCACAAAATCTATGTTCAAAAGATCTACATCAAACATCTTAATTTTTTTACCATGTTCTTGCCATCCTACCCTATGGCTAATTCTTGTAAGAAACACAACAACCTCATTGTTAGGATTCAAAACATGTATCAATTTGAAATTGAATAACTATATGACTCACTCTCACAACATTAAGTCCATCATTCAATCACCAAACTTGACCCTCGAGGTATAACTTAGTGGTGAAAATGATAGGAGTGAGGTAGTCTCAGTTTTGCTGTAGTGATTTGATGCTCCCAGGCATAGCCTAGTGGTGCAAAGGATATGAGTGATGTTATCTCACGTCTTGCTGGCAATCACAGTGTGAGGATTTGATTTCTAAAATATGGAATTGGACTCTTTGTGAGCACTAGTGTACGGGCAATCTCTTGTTCCCTAACCTACTGTGGCACATCTCGCGATTTACCTCCCTTACGATGCTCCAGGGACGGGACGGTGAGGCCCTCAAGATTAGGGTTCAACCTTTTTTTTTTCCTCTCAATCACCAAACTTTTTCATTGCTTTAATTGACTGTATAAATAAAGTGAATTAGTACATAGTCTACGTGAATATTATTAGTATAGTATACTTTTAAAAATAAATAAAAATTAATATATTTAAATTTAATTATAATTTTTTATAATTTAGGTATTTTTCACAAAAAATGAATGAAAAAAGAAAAAAAAAAGGTTATAAGAATCCAATTTAATTTTTTCAGAGAAAATAGAGATAAATAATAAAAGAGAGAAAGAAAAATAAATGAAATATAATAAATAGAAAAAATAAATTTTAATTATACATATTCATAGAAGATTAAAAGAAAGAAAGACTAAAAAAAATGTTTTTTTTGTAAAAGTCTCCCAAAATCTCGTGATTAATGAGAGACAAGTTTTAAAATATTATATGAGTATTTTCTGCTTAAAAATTAGTACATTAAAGACTTTTATAAAAGTCTTTGGAAGTCATTAAAATTTGAATACCCTTAGACTTATAGAAACTTCTAAAAAGTTTTAATTGAATACACCGTAATTTTTAGAGACTTTTTAAAAGTCTATAAAAGTCTTAATTGAATACACCACGACTTTTAGAGAGTCTCAAAAAGTCTCAATTGAATACCCCTAAACTTTTTAAATCTCAAGAAGTCATTAAAAGTCTCAATTGAATACACCCCCCTTAGATATCATCAATCTAGGGCTTAAATCATTGTACCCTTCTGTACAAAACAAATAACCTAACCTAGGCACTCAACGTCTCAGTCAACGTTGCTTCTATGGACCAAAAGACAGCAACCAAAAACCACTATTGGGTTTTGATACCCAATAATTCGAGTGATGATGTTAAATCGATGTTGCATAAAATAAATATCGACACCGAAGATTGATGACCTGACCCTAAGATTATTTAGACCATTGGAAGCAAATTAATTAGAGTTGATCATGGCCCGGTCCCTAACTCATTGGATGGCTTATATATGTTGGCCCCTTTATCGTATTTGTATTGGACTTGGCCCCATCACTTTAACATAACCTATATATACTAGCCTCCTTTGTTTTGTCATTAATGTGTATTTGCCTTGTTTTGAGAAAGAATCGAGCCTGCCTTTTGCTTTGTGCTTCTCTTTGGCCGTTTCTTTCTTGTTCTTCTGTGACCTTTGTGGCTGCAAACCCCATCTCTTTGTGTCCTTAGTGAGTACAAGTTTGAGCAACCTGAGTGTGGGAAGAGTTTAAGGTTTGGGTCGTGATTGCTTGGGTGTATTGATAAGGTCGAGATTGATATCCTGAGCCCGGAATTCCATCAATTGGAGGTTGATTATTCAACATTTGGTATCAAAGCAAGGTTGCCGATGGAATTTCGGCTAAAGTCTAACCAAAAATGAAGAAGAAACCAGTCGAATTAAATGTTTAAAAATTTTCAAAAAAATCGAACCTACAACCTCGATTTTTGGCCTATCCAGTGGTCTTTTGGTGAAAAGGACATCGGATTCTTGATCTGTAGGTAGAGGCGGTGCTGGGTGGTCGGCGCATCTGGGTGACAGCTGTTGACGGTGGAGATACATGGGGATTTCGACGATCACGCATGGGGGCGTGTGCGGGCTCCTCCTCCGACGACTTTTTCAAACAGAATTTTTCTGACGTGTTTTCTAACGATTTTATGTTGTTAGTTTTCAGTTTAAGGATATACAGAAAATGTTGGACGAATCTGCCCCTGGACACTCGACTATTGGTTGTAGGACACTTGTGTTAGCACTTTGCTGAACTTTAGGACGAATAGTGATAGCCCTAAAGCAGCAGATTCGCATCTCTTGTAATTTACAAACTCAGACAGGTTCGTTCTGATAAATTGATTGAAACCTCTACATTTTGCACTAGCATATCATCGTGTGGGATGATCATTAGGATTGATGATTGTCATTGCTTGACAAGCATTGCTTGTGCTAAAAAATTTAGAAATTATTTGCCTTATTTGAAGTGTTGAAGTTGATTGCAAGTTAATAATTGATTTTGTGCTGTAATTGTCATATAGTTGTTGCGTGAGAATTTAATTTAATTTTTTTTGTTAAATACGTGTTGCACTGATTATCCTGTTAGAGCACCTGGACTTGACCCGTTCAAAAATTTCCTTGATCTAAGATCACGAATTTTACGAAACCCTGGGAATTTAAAACGGTGTATATTTCGGCCGTAGGATTACTTTGAGTGACCTATCTGTGCATTTATTTTTTCTATTTTTTCCAAAAATGTCTTCATGTTTCAAAGTTGGTATTTTCAATGGGAAATTGGGTGTTTCAATTTGGCAATAAAAAATGAAGGGGTTTAAACAAAAAGTTTCAAAGGCCGTAGACAACAAATTTTCTGCAAATTTGATAGAAACACAAAAAGAGGAATATGATAAACTTGCTTACACTTCAATTATCTTACTTTTATCTGAATTATATAAAAGAACTATGAAAAAAGTTGGATGACTTATATTTGCTCAAATTTACTCCTAATAAACTGTACTTACTTGAAAGATTTTTTTAGTTTTAAAATGGACCATTCAAATGATCTTGACGATAATCTGGACACTTTTAACAAACTTGTTTAAGACATAACTGTGATGAAAATGTGTCTAAAACATATAAAGCAATTATCTTACTTAATTCCATGTCTGATTCATATAAAGAGGTTAAGAATACAATTAAGTGCGGTAGGGACACCCTAACACTCGAGATTGTCATAAACTCTCTTGGGAGTAAGGAAATGGAAATAAGACTGAAAATGAAGATAAAAGGAGTTGTGAGTTACACATGATAAAGAGTAGGATGAAGTTTAAGCAAACGAATTTAGGTAGAGCTCAAAATAATGGTGATTCAAGTAGTGACTCGAGTGGTGAATGTAATAAGAAGAAGGTCAAGGATGGGACAAGTCTAGTGGTAAACGGTGTTACAGCTTGATAAGTTTGGACACTTTATTAGAAACTATCCCAAGAAGAAGGATAAGCAGAAGGGTAACGTGAGAGGTGAGACGATTGTGGTTAAGGGGTCGAGTTGTGACCCTAATGAGGTTTATTGAGAGTAAACCTAGTTACTGGCGAGTTGGCGCGATTGCCCGTGCTGGCTCCGGCGGGAAAGGAATTACATGTTAATGAAGCTATTATGATAAATATGTGAAACTGTACTACCCTTGACAAATGTGATCGTAGCTCATTTAGTAGGGCGTTGTTTTGCAAGTGAGAGGCACCTGCTTTGATTCCCCTCCTTTTCACTTCTTCTCTTAATTTTTCAAACACAATAAATAATAGTTAAATAATTGTATACTATTTTTATTTTGTTTTAATTAACACTGATACGGGTTAGATTCCCTTCACCTCCTCTTCTTCTTTTCAATTTTTTAACACAATAAATAATATTAAACAATTATATATTATTAGTTTTTGTTTCTAAAATTTCTTAAAAAAAAATTGTTAACTCAAATTATTACTTTATATCTATATATATAAAATAATTTCTTTAAAAAAATTTGTTATACACACACACACGTGTACACACACTTTTATTATTAGATTTCATCAATTTATTTTGTAAAATTCAAATTTG